AATTTTGTTAAGTTGCTGAATGAATGAATGAATGAATGAACCAATGGTAAAGATCTGCCAAGCCAGCTTGCTGTGCCTCCTGACAGGTCCGTAGCTCATAAAATGACTCCTGCTCTCACAAAGAATTTTCTAGAGCTTACATCTCTAGCCCTGCTAAGAGGGCTTATTGTCTGGTGAACTGTTCACAGGAACCCAAGAGCTGAAGTCTAAGTGGTGATATCCTGAATAGTCAATGACTCTCGGACCCAGCAAGTCTAGGCCACCCACAAACACCAGGAATCTCAAGCTTTCAAGTTAGAAATATGAGGTACAGGGGCGCCTGGGGGGGGGGGGGGTGCAGTCAGTCAGTTAAGTGTCCTACTCTCGGTTTCGGCTCAGGTCATGATCTCACTGTTGTGAGTGAGTTCGAGCCGTCCACAGGGCTCCATGCTGACAGTGTGGAACCTGCTTGGGATTCCCTGTCTCCCTCCCTCTCTGCCCCACCCCTGCTCACTCTCCGGGTTTCTGCCACGCACCAAGTCTACCTGCAAGTTCATCACTGACCCTCTACCAAAAACGACTGATAATTTAAAGCTAACAAAGACCACTAGGGGAAGGGCTTGGAATGATTGTAGTTTGATACGTGGGGTGGGCTGTATGAAATGCTCAGCACCCTGACCGCCCCGCACACCCATGTGCCACCGTGCTTCCCTGAACTGTATGGCCAACATCCCAGCAGCCATCCGGTCAGCGGCTGTGGCTGCTACCTGTCCTCCGCAGGGACGGTCCCGGTTTTAAAACCCAGCTAACTAGCTAAAAGATATGCGGCTCACCTCCACCATCCAACCCAAACCAGAGTGGTTCTGAAGCAGTAGCCCTGAGCCCACACAACCCGAGACGAGATGGGCTTCTCTTCGATGAGGTTCCGATCAATTTGCAAAGAATAACGTAATCCCTAATCCTTTAACCGGATGCTAGGTAGCGACATCGAAGAAAGAAAAAAAAAAAAATCTCTTCCTTGATTTAAAGTTCCACCAGAAAAAACAGATTTCTGGAACCTACAACTCTGAGGAAAAAAGGATTCATCCTCTTTTATGCTAACGTAAGGGTCATCTACCAAAAATAATGAACACAGCCAGTATATTCATCATTGAAAACAGTCTGGGGCATGGAGTAAATGAGATGAGCACGCTCTAGTGGAAACACAATGGATCCTTGAACACTTGCCCGTGTGTCAACGTTCTTCACAAGACGCCGATCTGTCTTGAGAAAGGCTAAGCACAAATGAACGTTGTAAGTATAACGTTAGGTGAACGTGCTTTTACAGGTTCAGAGCACAGAACGCACAATCGAGTAGAAAGAAAGAAAAGAAAAGTCACTGGCCATCTTGCACTAGGAAGAAGATGAAACGATCTAGTACCAAAACCGAAAGCATGTTAATAGCGAACCCACCTCAAACATGTTTTCCTGCCCCCACGGCGGTTAGCTTCAGGTGACAACGGTAAACCGTAATTCAATATTCAACTGGGTACTGGTGATTCAGAGATGAGACAGACACGGTCCCGGGGCCCGAAAAGCTCCCAAGGGAACAAAGAGCATCGCACCCATCATAACCCACTCGGGTGGCAAGAGCCATAGGATACCGATGGAAACAAGCCAGGAGAGAGGCCAGCTCGGCCTGGAAGCGGAAGGTGAGGTGGCAGATGCTTCCCTACGACAGGGTGCCATTCGAGCTGGGCCTTGAAGGGCAAGTAGGAATTCACCATAAGGGAAGAGAGAGAGGATCTGGGAAAAGGAACATTCCAGATGAAGGGAAGAGCGTAACAGAGGGAAGTACGCTGAGTGCCTGCTGCCTTTGACCAGTTTGGGGAAGCCAGAGATGTCACAGGAAGCCACCAGGCCCTGACTGAACAGACACGCTAGAATTGGGTTTAAGTGGAAAGGTGAGAAAAAATAAACATAATAAAACATACCCAATGAGATCCCTTTATTGGCCCAGACGTGAACAGAGGTAGAGACGGAGGCAGAACGTTACAGCATGTCTACCCTGGCAAGCATTTTCATTAAGAACCCGTTCCCCAGGCATTCCCAATATTTACGATTCCCCATTCAACATGCCATCCTGTCACTATAAGTCTATGTGAGCTATGCCACCCTGGGCCAGCCCAATGATCCATACAATCCAATATTCTGTCTCTGACACAGCACTAGGGGACATCGGTGGGGAGAACACGATAGATGTGGCCCACTCTGTCTATGTCCATCTCAGAATGTTAGAATATTGGCTGATGGTGAAGAAGGACCTTAGCCTTATTTGCAAAATTTGTACTTAAAAAAAAAAAAGAAGAATGCAGTAATGTAGAACTTACATAACTGATAATTTTATAGAGCGTCTCATTAGCCACTCTTCGATGAACAATTACTAAGTCTTTGTAAGGCCTTAAACAATTTTGGGAGGAACCACAGTAAACCATCCATTAATGTGTTATTTAAAGTGGTTTCATTCGTCAACGCCGATTCCTCTATTGGGACTATTTCTAATAGCTAGACTGGACAAACCTGGCCCATCTAAAAGCGAAAGAACACTCTTGATTCTTCACTGGCTTCTAGGGGGAAACTGACCCCCAAACACTGCAGGTCCTTGTTGACTTAACTAAATTTCAACAGCAAGTTGCACGAGCAAACTTTCTCTATATAAGTGCCATTCTCTAACAAGACCCACGCTGATTTATTAGCTCTTGTATGAGCAGATCTGACCAATGCATAATGTTTTATATTGCAAATCTTTGAGGGCTACTGATGGTTATTACTAGCGCTACGCAATGGGCTGGCCGAAAAGACCGACTTAATTCATGAGCAGCCGTCCTTTCCACACCATGCATACATGGAAATTCCCCTTTGATTTGTGGCTTTAATCACGGCTTCCAAAACCTGTCACTATTTATGACTCTGACTTTTACATTGACGGTTAACGGGAAACATTTACTCGGGCTACCTGATAGGAAAGAACTCTGCAGCTCAAAGCAGAGCATGTGCTCCATTCTGACATTACACATCTCCATTTTCCTGCGGACTCACCAGGTTGGGGATGGAGTTAGAGGAGGTGGGAGAGTGCCAGGCGTTACATAATATTACTGAATGGAAAGATATTACTTAAATATGCAGTGACTCCTCCAGTCAGATGTGAGGCAGATTCGAAAAGGAAAACAGGTTGTAAGACAAAACCCACAACCTTTGGGGTTTGTGTATGTGCGCGTGGGTCTCGACATTCCTACTGTTCAAAATATTTGAAATCGTCAAGCAATGCCGACCAACATAAAGTCACTTCTCTACTGACCACCTTGGCCAAGCTGCCAGGAAGGCCGCCCTCCTTCTTCTAGGAAAGAAGCACACTCTTCTATGGATGCACCAAGCTCTATTCTGGTCTCATACAATCCAACCCCCACAAGTCTTCCACTCTTTCTGCTCTGTCGTCTTTCGCTTTAGGGAGCGCCTGGCTGGCTCAGTCAGCAGAACATGGGACTCTTGATCTTGGGGTGGTGAATTCAAGCCCCAGGATGGGTGTAGAGATGACTTAAATAAATAAAAAGCTGTTTTAAAAAAGTCAGTATGTCATCTTTCCCTTTTCATGGACTCCTTCTCCTCAGTCCCTGGTTATACTCTCCCTTGCACCTTGATTCTAAAAATCAGTGCCTTTTAGAAAATCCAAGCATAACACTATATGGAAAAGTGTACAAATAGCAAGCGTTCCACTTGGAAGGATTTTCACAAACTGAACACACTGGGGTGACCAGCACTCGGCTCAACAATTTTACCAGCACCTCCAAAAGCCCCTCGGCCCCCTTCCACTTCCTCTCCTACCCCAAGGATGACCACTCTCCTGCTTTCAAACAGCCCGGATGCCATTAGCTTTGCTTGTTCTTGTAGTTCGTATAAATGCCATCGTGCGGTATGTACCCTTTTGTGTCTGGCTTCGATCACTCATTATTATGTTTGCGAAGTTCATCCACATTATTAGGTAGACTCCTAGATCATTCACTATTATAGCTACATAGTTTTCCTTGTATGAATGGAACCACAATTCATAATCCATGATGGATTGTATTCATGATGGATGTGTGGGTGGGTTCCCGTTTCTGACTATTGAGAATAGTGCTACTATTTGATGGGTGAAACAGATAAAGGAGATTAAGAGCACACTTATTGTGGGGCACCTGAGGGGCTCAGTCAATAAAGCATCTGACTTCGGCTCAGGTCATGATCTCACGGCTCGTGAGTTCGAGCCCCGCGTCGGGCTCTGTGCTGACAGCTCAGAGCCTGGAGCCTGCTTCGGATTCTGTGTCTCCCTCTCTCTGCCCCTCCCCCGCTCATGCTCGCTCTCTCTCTCTCTCTCTCTCTCTCTCAAAACTAAACATAAAAAAAATTTAGTAAGAGCACACTTATCATGATGAGCAGTGAGTAATGTATAGAATTGTTGATTGTTATAGTGCACAACTAACATAACACTATGTTAATTACACTTCCATAAAAAATTTAAAAATAAAAAATAAAAACAATAAATTATATATATATAATACATATGTAGCGTGAGAGAAAAAAATTATCAGTTCTAGAATTACTAAGAAAATTTATCCAGAGTAAATAATACAATGTCAGGTAACAGTACATAGGCAATAAATTATTATTACATGACTTTTTTTCCCCTAACCTATTCAATATATCTAAAGTGTTAATCTATGGATAAAGTTAACAAGGCTCTGAAACCACAAAGAGTGCTTAAGATTTAAGACAAAAGAAAGAATAGTGCTACTATGACCAAGTCTTTTTGAGAAGAATATGTTCACATCTTAAAGTAGAATTGTTGGGCCATTAAAATTATACATATATAATATATATCATATGATACACATATGATATATACTATATATATATATATTTTTTTTTTTTTTTTAAGGGTTTCAGAGTAGATATAAATAATGCAAATGTGTTCTGGGCTCTTCTATCCAAGAAAAGCAACTGACCTCAATCCTTCCAGCTGCTTCTCCTTCAAAGGGTCTGTTTTCCCCCTGCCGGGCTGTGAGCTCACAAGAACGGCGACCATTCCCAAAAGTGCCCAACTGCTAGCCAGTGCCTGGAATACAAGGGCTAGTCAATAAGCGACCACTCAGCTAGTGAACTAAACGTGACATTGCCTTAACTCCTCGTGCCTTCCCAACTGATTCCGGTCTGGCTTCTGCTCCTTGGCTGCCTTGGAAACGCTCGCACTGAGGTCACCGTAGACCCTCCGAACTACCAGAGCCCGTGGCTGCCCTTCAGTCCCCACCTCACCTGACCCTTCTGTGGCAAGTGGCAGAGATGATCGACCCAAACGGAACAACCCAAAGAAACCAAACCCTTGGCTTCAAGGGTCCCCTCGTTTCTTACCGCTGAGGTACTTGTTCTCCAGGGCTCCGCTACTGGAAGCCTCTGCTGCCCGGGGCTCCGTTCCTCGGCTCAGGCTTCCACCCACCAGTAATGACTCTCTTCAGTCCTAACTCTGCTCCGGAACCCTACAAGGGGGCTTTCCGGTGGCCTCCCAGACTGTGTCCCCGGGACCTCCTGTCCACGCCTCAAAAGTGTGTCAGGTGGAAAATACGAACTCCACCCTCGCATAATGCCTGGTGTACTTATTCAGCGTGAACTTCTGCAGGTCTGTTGTGCTGCCATTCAGCATGCTAGACCCTGGGGATCCAAGACGGGGAAGAGCGGCCCTGATGGACAAGAACGGACATCTGGCCATGCTGGGCTTAGATGCCACCACAGGGTTCAGGGAGGACGAGGAGAGGTGCCCAGCCCAGCCTGGGTGGAAGGAGGCAAAGGTGCTTTCACAGGGTCTGTCTCTGAGCTGACTCTCCCCTGTCAGAACTATCTATCGACCCCACTCGCTGCTCTCACACCCACCTCCGCCATCGAGACCCCATTGCCCTTGCCTGGATCCCTGGACCACAGCGCTTTTTCCAGGCCTGGCTTGTTTCTCCACAGTCTGTCCTTTACAATGTAACTCAGCTTTGGGCACTACTCTGACTAGAACTCTCCAGTGGCACCCCCTGGCCCCTTGAGCAAAAGGCAAACCCCTTATCCCGTGAGGGACCAAAGGTCACACGTGGGAGCGTCCCCCCTCCTCCAATTCCTGTGTCCAGTGCTCAGCGTGCTCCAGATGCACAAGTCCTGGCCAACAACAAGCCCGTCCAGCCTCCGAGCCTGCGCCCTTGCCGTCTGCCATGCCCGGACGCCTTCTCCAGCTCCGCGAGGAAACATCTCCGTCTTGTTATTCAAATCCTAGAGCACCTGTCAGAGCTCCTGACAAGCCTTCTCTGGCCACTCAAAGTAAAGCAGCAACTCCGTCGCTCCAACAGCCCTGCCTGGCACTTCTGATCACACTCACCTGTCACACGTCCTACACCACCACTCCCGAACTTAGCTCACTCATTTATGTTGGCTTTTTCAAGGCTATCTCTGCCGATGGACTGAAAGCTCCGTGAGAGCAGAAATGCTGTTTGACTTATTCTCCTCTGCGTTCATAAGGCCTAGTGTAGTGCCTGGGACTTAATAGGTCCTTAATAAATATTAGTCACGCACTAAAGCCAAAGCATGGCAGCTTTGTACAAATTCCGTAGCCCAGACTCCCTGGTCTGAATCCCACCTCTGCCAATCACTAGCTGTGTTGCCTGGGGCCAGTGACGTAGTCTTTTTGTGCCCCTTGGGAGCTTTGCTTGGTAACAAAATAAAGTTAAAAATACTCTGCCTGAGGGCACCTGGGTGGCTCAGGTCATGATCTCTAGTGGTCTGTGAGTTCAAGCCCCCTGTGCTGACAGCTCAGAGCCTGGAGCCTGCTTCGGATTCAGTGTCTCCCTCTCTCTCTGCCCCTCCCCCACTCACGCTCCGTTTCTCTGTCTCTTAAAAATAAACCAACGTTAGAAAAACACTTTCTAAAAAGAAGAACAAAACAAACAACAACAACAACAACAACAACAACAACAACAACAGCAACAACAAAAAAACCCCTCTCTTTTTAAACAGAGACAATTTCAGGGAATCTGTGATGTTCATCTGTTTGTCTCACAGGAAATGGAAAATACAGAGCAACAAAAGTAAAATGCGTTCTGATGATCAGAGGGGAAGCAAAGTTGATACTGAGTCCACCACTCTGACTCTTTTGTTCCTTGCCACCTCATCCTGCTGGGAGGAAAGAGGTACATGTTTTTATCCCCAGTACACCAACAGGAAAAATGAGATGCGAACCCTGAGCAGTATGTCAGGGGTTACTTAACAAAACAGAGGCTGTACTAGCAAAGAGGTCAGCTCTTCAAACCGAACCTGGTGGGAAAGACAGTCTGTTAAGGTTGCCTTAGCTAATACGCTCAGAGGCTCTGAAAGAATGAGATCAGAATGATTTGGCCCGTGGACCGAATCCAGCCCACTGGGTGTATGTGTAAATAAAGTTTTATTAGAAAACAGCCATGCCCATTCATTTAGGCATGTCTGTCTGTGAGTCCTTCCAGGTTACAACAGCAGACTTGACTGGATGCATCAGACCTTCCAGCCCACAAAGCCTAAAATATTTACTATCAGAGCCTGTATAGAACAAAAATTGCCCATCTCTGATTTAGAGAATAGTGCCATGTGTCCGGATTGTGTTCTATTTCACAAGTATCAGCATACTCAAGTTCCTGTTCCTGTTCAAACTAGTTCACTTAACAGGGAGGGTTTGGGGGGGGGGGGGGTTTAATTGACAATCTTTGATTCAAGTGTATCTTACAGTTCAGAGAAAGAGTTCAATGGTTTGGTTCTGGGCTCAAATTAATATAGCTTCTCCACTTCGGGGGCACACAGTTTGCCCGTGGTCCTTGAACAGAACATTTTTACAAACTTGGAACAAAGCAGGTGAAATGGAATGCTTTTTGCTCTGGAGGATGTCTCTTATTCAAGCTTAAACATACACTGCTCCTTCCAGCAATAAGATCCAAGTAGGCTGTCTATATTCCTCTGGCTTAATAATCCTATTTTCTACAAAAGTTCAGATATCATTTGTGGACACCTAGGTTTTCCATTCAATAGAAGCATGCCCTCTCCAACTTCTTTCATAGATAGATACCTCTTAAAAACTAAACCTCTGAAAACAAACAGTGTTCCCTAAATGCTAATACAGTCTATCAGTCTGTCTTTTGAAGCTAAAAATGCATCTTACTGTAACTTTGTAGTGCCTTCAGAACTGGGAATCCAGCTTTCCAACTCTTTGTGCAGATGTTTGGTCACAGATGAAACTTTCATTTTTTAAAGACTGTACTGCGGACATTTTCACACATATGCAAAAACAGAGAGAACAGTATAATAAGCCCGCCGTCCCCGGCAACCAGCCTCAACAAGTATCAATATTCTGCCCTTCTTCTCCCCCTTATCCTTCCTCCCAACTTCGTGCCTGTTTATTGTTTGCTGCGGTATCCGAAAGCAGACCTCCCGCATCAAATCATTTCGCCCATAAAAACTTGCTTGTTTCTGTTAGATAAGGTCTTTTCTCCTTTGAACGAAACTGTGATACGACTATCACATCTGACAGAACTCATCATAATCCTTACCATCAGCTACCACCCAGTCCAAGTTCAATTTTCCCCAACTGTCTCAATAATGTCTTGTTAAAGCTGGTTTGTTCAACTAAGAGCCCAAGTATGACCACATATCGAACTTGCTGATAGGTCACTTAGGTGTCTTTTCATCCACAATGGATTGCGCTCGGGGTGTTTTTTGGTTTGTTTTTTTTCCCACCTACCACCGACACGGGCTTACATTCTAATTGGCCAACAAACCTTACTGAGAGTAACACCTCTTCAGGCTGCACATGCTGTAAGCAAATTCATAGGCCCCTTAGGCACAAACTCACAAAGCTCCACTTTCCAGTGCAATCCTCCACCGGGACCAATATGCCAGGCCACCGCACACACTTTCTGCTCTCGAGAGAAGGAATTTAGCAAGCTAACTCTCTAAAATTAAATTTTTTCTGTGCTGCGATGGCCTGAAGACGCTGAATGATTTTTAAAAAACAAGGCATCCATTCATTAAGGCTTTCTTTTTTTTTTTTTAAGTTAGTCAAATTTAATCAAGAATCACCAAGTAAATCAGACAAGCCTTGCAATCCATTACTGTTCCAAGTCACAACTGTAATTAATTAATTAAACGCCTAGCTCATACAGGACATTGGGTTATAAAAAGGGTGACCTGTGTCCCTGCCCACAGCGACTGACCGCCTCAATGAAGCAGTTACCGCATCGCTTGGACAAAACACCCAAGGAAGACGACACAAAACCACTCAAACTGACAGCCGTGCCCCTACCATTAGGTTAAGAATATGTGAGGTTGATCTGGGCGGCAGGAAAAAAAAGGACAAGGGTCAAAAGGAACAGAGCGTGACTGCTGGTTCGATCACTTATGAGCTGTAGCAGACTGGATGAGTTAGTTACTTCACTTCTCGGATTCTGTTTTATCACTTGCAAAACTGGAACAATCTCCTCCACCTCCCAGAGTAGTAGCCATAAACACTGAATCAGAAAATCTTACACGAAAGCCCAGCACTAGTGATGATGAAAATAATAATAATGAATTCATGGACTATAAAAATTGTTACGTCAGACATTGAGCTAAAAGGAAAGAAGTGGCTCACAGGACCTCAGGGTCCTTGCTGTCTGTCAACCATGGTGTGATAATGCCTCCCAATACCAGCACAGTAAGGTATAAGGGTGAGACCCCGGGCGCTTGCGGGCGCGGGGAGGAGGGGGACAGGCCAGCCTCCCATGGCTTTTCAATCAATTGCATGGTAAAGTCAGCACCTCGCAGCTCCCACCCCTCAAACAGGAAGCCCCACCAGACTCCCAAACTTGCAATACACAAGGCATGGGTATATTCAGAGCCATAATGGTAGTTTCCTTCTCTGTTGGGGCAAGTCTTCAGCAGTCTGCTACAGAATATTTAAGGCGTCCTCTAGTATTAGGTCCAAATACCCAGTACTTGCTCAAACAAGGCCAAAGTAAAATCATAATTATTTTTTCCTTAGAGTCTTAGTTCCTTCTGGTACATATATACAAAAAAGACAAGGACGTGAGTCGCCAGAAAAGAGGTGCCTGCAGCCACCATGCTTTGAGAATCCCAACCAAACCAAGGGGAAAAGACACCTGGAGAACAGAGCTCCTGTCTGACAGTCCTGTGAGATCTCCTGCGCCTGAAGCCATCTCGGACCTTCTCACCTTCCCAGAGTTCAACGGAGAACACATGAAGCTTCTGTATCACCCAGTCAACCCACAGAACTGTTAGCGACAATAAAATGCTGTTGGTTTAAGTCATTAAGTTTTGGGGTGATTCGTCAGGTAAGGAAAACCGTCAGGACTCCTTTACCAGCCAAGCATCCCCGGGTTCCGTCGTTTTGTTTACAAGTCAGCTCTCCTCCTGGACTGTGAACCCCTGGGCGCTGCCCCTGTTTCTGGTTCTTCTTTGTAGGTCTAGGGAGCTGCACGTGGCCTGGCCCAGAACAAGTAGGTGCTCAAGAAATGTTTGTTGAACGGAAAGGAAATGCTTCATTTACCGCAAATGGGGATTTGCATTTACAGGACGACACCTCCCCCAGCCCTCAGTCCTTAAGGCGATTCCAAAGAGGAGAGCGCAGGAAGGGCCAAGTTTAGGAGACCCACCCCAGGAAGGAAGGCGCCAAAGGGGCTCGTTGGGAGAAGTGATGGAGCTGGGCTTGTGGCCAGTCCACGTGAGAAGTCCGTGCAAGTCTGTGGCCAGCCACACGGAGGGCGGGACCAACCAAACTCTGAAACTCCGCGGCACTGGGAAAAGTCCCAGCGAAAAAGTGGAGACCCTGGGTGGAAGGTGGCCGCGCCTCCTCTCGCCCCCAGTCACCAGGACTTGGGGCAAGCCCCCGCACCCTCCCCGGCCGCCGCGGGCGAGGAGGAGGAAGAGAAAGAAAGTGACCGGAAGTCAGAAGTTTCCCAACAACGACCAAAATCCTCCCTCAGGAGGGGAGGGCTCCCCATCCTCGCCCGGCTCCGCCCAGTGAGGAGGGACCGCCACCAGTGCATCCAGGAAGTTGGGGGTCCTGTTCTTCTGTCCCAACAGGGAGGGCCTGGCCTGTAGCTCTCCCGCGGCGTTCCGTGCACCCCGAATTCCGTGAGAGGTTCCCCGGGACGGGCGGGGGCGCCCCAACTGATACTTACAATCGTCTAAGTCATCGTGCAAGTCCACAAAGTACAGAGGGATCTCTGAAAACCAAGAAACACACTGGAGTTACACATAAGGAGGGGGACCGCGGCAGGCGGGCTCAGGGGCGGGCGGGGGTCCCCGGGCCTCCTGGAGTGGTCCGGCTTGGGGGGAGGGGGCCGCCCCTGCGCCCAGGGAGCCAACCCCACTCACCCGCCATCTTGGGATGGGCCAGGAGGCGGGGTCCGCGCGGGGTGGGGCGGGACCGGGGCGAGGGGCGGGGCCTAGGGCTCCGGGCCCCGCCCCCC